CCCATTTACTGAACCAAGTGGGAAATAGCCAAGCAGGCACAAAGGGTTTGCACCAGGTCTGGGGACACAGGGGACACCGTCTTAAAGGGGCAGTGTCCCCAACAAGTCTGGGGACACGGCCTTAAAGGGGCAGTGTCCCAATCTTCCTGATGTCCCAAAAAAGGTGTTTAAAGGGCCAGCACCAGTCACATAAAGAGTCCATAAGCCCCAATATGCCCACCGACAGTCTTAAAGGGCCATACACACCAAACAAAAGTGCATACATTTTCACAATCTCCCAGGGGCCATAGTCATGCGGGAGGAGGCTGGCAAATAGGCTTCTCCACAACCCAGGGAAGCAGGGCAATTTGCCATTTAAAGGGCCCGTTACAAATAGCAGTTTGTAACAAGGTGTCAATCCATATCTGCCAAGTGACCCGATGTAGGGGGACCAGTCCCTATTCTGCTCTGTGTCAGTGTGTATCAGGGAACCTTAGGACAGGTGTCAATCCATATCTGCCAAGTGACCCGATGTAGGGGGAACAGTCCCTATTCTGCTCTGTGTCAGTGTGTATCAGGGATCCTTAGGACAGGTGTCAATCCATATCTGCCAAGTGACCCTATGTAGGGGGACCAGTCTCTATTCTGCTCTGTGTCCGTGTGCATCAGGGGCTCTGAGGACAGGTGTCAATCCATATGTCAAGGTGTCAATATGTCATATGTCAGGTGTCAATCCATATTGATTGTGATTTAGGAATGTTAGGTGATTTCTGCCCTTTATGGATTAAAACCAGACTCTGTATCAACTGTGTAATTTTCCATGGGAGTTTTGCCATGGATCCCCCTCCGGCATGCCACAGTCCAGGTGTTAGTCCCTTGAAACAACTTTTCCATCACTATTGTGGCCAGAAAGAGTCCCTGTGTGTTTTAAAATTCGCCTGCCCATTGAAGTCTATGGTGGTTCGCCCGGTTCGCCGGTTCGCGAACATTTGCGGAAGTTCGCGTTCGCCGTTCGCAAACCGAAAATTTCGGGTTCGCGACATCACTACTGGTTACATTCATGACTACACACTAGTGAACAGGACCTTCATGTAGTGTGTTCTTTTTTTTTTTTAAATCACACAGCATCCTTTCATGTGCTTTTCAGATGTCATATTGTTAATTACCAATTTTTGTTTAGTCTTTTTTTTTATAAAGTGAAAAATAAGTGTTATTGTGATCGCTTCATATACAGAAGCATTAATATACTTTTCTATATTGTGTAAAGACACAACTACAAAGTTAAAAACCAAACACCAAAACAACGTGCCAGACAATCTATCTGTGCATTGCTAGTGTGATACAATAAGTCTACATCTTAAAAATGCAATAACCCACAGAAGATGGGCGAGAATTTTTTTTTGCAAATGGAACTTTGATTTGAATTTACTACATCAGTCACTTGTAATATTGTTTCACACCTACAACACTTGTTAAACAGATCTAAGTGATAATAAACATATTGATATTTTCTACACTAGAAACTACCAGATAACAAGCTGCTATATTTAAACCAGTTATCAATAGCTAAGAGGTACTTAAACAATATTGTAATTCTGGGGCAATACCCTCACAAGTCAAACTGAGAGGTCAGTTTATAGGGAAAACTGTTGCCTGGATACAATTCTAAAACAATTTCCATATGTCCTTTGCATACTTTACATGCTGTAAAAACACAGGTGCCAACTGCTGTGGCTTTCTGCAGTGTGCAGACCGGCAAGGAGGGCAGGGTTGAGGAGTAGGTGGAAGATGATGTGGAGGATGATGAGGTCCTAGACCCAACATGGAATCAAGGTCATCCGAGTGACGTGTGCAGTTTGGAGGAAGAGGCGCTGGTCGCACAGAGGCACCAGCACAGCATAAGAGGGAGCAGGCGTGCAAATGTTTATTTTTTATATGTCCCAATATTTTGGGGGCTACCCCAATTAAAATAAAAACAAATATATATAAAAAACAGTGTTGGCTACCTCCTCCTCCTCCACCGCTGCTTCCACCTACACCGCCACGGTCACCTCAACCTATGGGTCACTTAGTATAAACTATGTACACAATAGCAGAGGCTTGTGAAGGCCTTTTCTCCATGCATCAGGAGTTGAGCTCAGTTTGAACAATGAAAGAGAATACCCTGCACTCCAACCCTCTCTCAAATGGATAATTCTGGTGATCCTCCTGACAGCCATGCTTTAGATTTAGATTTATGGCTCAGCTGTATTTTTATGTTATTTTAAGTGATTTCCCTTTCCACATTTGTTTGCAGGGCACTTGTCCTACTCTTACCCCCATTTTACTTCCTTTTGCAGCCCTGTAGCCTTTTCCAGGCATTTTTGTGGCCAAAAGTTCGGGTCCTCATTGACTTCAATGGGGTTCAGGGTCAAGTTCGATCACGAACCTGGACTTTTTTTCAAAGTTCGGCCAAACCCGCCGGACCCGAACATCCAGGTGTCCGCTCAACTCTAAATACGACCTCTTTAGTCAGGGAAATCCATATCTTTTTTGTTCTTACTGTAAAGAACCCTCTACTCTGCTGTAAGCAAAAATGCCTTTCTTTATATTGTAAAGCGCTACGGAATCTGTTGGCGCTATATAAATGGCAATAATAAATAAATAAATAAATGGCTTACCTCTTCTCTGTTGTATAATCCTGCTAATGAACAGGTTAGCACATAGGAGTTTGCACTGATCCCGTATATATTTCTATAGTGCTATCATATATTCTCTGAGACGCCTTTTGCTTTCCTAAAGAAAACGATTCAATTTTTTCTAGTCTTTGCTCATACTAATGTAATGCGTACATCCAACCTCCTTTTTTTCTTTTGTCAATCAGTATTTTACTGAGATGACTTCAAGATACAGGCATGTTAAAAAGAAATGTCAAGATAAGACAGTATAGTAAGCAGGGATGATACCCATCATATGTCACATATAATTCTGGTGGGTATAGACATCTCAGTATAACATAATAAGCATTGTACAGAAGACAAAATGAAGATGGTAGCATGTTACCGTGATTAAACAGGTTAGAACCAGAATATATAATCAGAATAAGCAATGATAATACTCAGTACATAGCATTGTAGTCATTGTAGAAACATCTTATTTTGCAAGTATGAAATTAATGGTCATTAACTGATAGCAAAACAAATATTAGCATCAACTTACATATACAATGCAGAACACTTACACATTAGCTAATAGAGCAAGACACTAACTATAAAACAGACAGAATAGTACATTTCTCACATACTAAATAAATCATCGATTAAGATGGCATAACGGCAGCACTAAATACAAATGAAACAGAGAAAAAAGAAAAAACCTTAGCACCAAAAATGAACTGTGTGTGAGAGGGCAGAGTTCTGAGAGTCTATCCAATTCCCCTTCGGAGGACAATCAGGGACCCCAGAGATCTAGCTCACAGCCTCCTTGAGTTTCAGGAGAGGGATAACCAGCCTCCAGGCCTTCTTGCAGACATAGGTACAATGATTTCACATCGGAGCGCATCTGGAGTCATCCCAAGACTAGTGCTGTTACTTTTCCAAGGAACATATCGCCAGTTCTTCCATTGCTTCTGGATCTTCTGGGAGTGGCATCTGTGCAGAGGTCGAATGAGCCGATGTGCCCGCCACAAGTCGGCCTCTCCCATCCAGCTCAAACTGGTCCAGCAGCTGTAAGTAATGGAGACCCTTTGAGACTCTGACTTCTCAAACCAATCTGTAGTGATGAAGGGTGCTTTGGCACAGTAGTTGTACAGGAGGTAGCCAGCTTCAGGAAAAAGACACTGACACAGATGGCCAAACAAATTTAATAAGTTGCGTTTTGCATATTCAGGGACGTCAGCCATTTTGGGATATGCAGGTAAGCTGTGCTATGGTGCTTGTAGCTGGCCACATGAGAAGCTGAGTCTGTCAGTATAGGCTGAGATCAACCCCACTGGCCCAAAGGGAGGTAACAAAGTCCAGGTGAGAGCAAGGACACCTAACATGGGACTGTCCTTTTCTCCAGTCCCAAGCTGCCCAACAGGCTTCAGAGAAGTCTGTCACATGTAACACTCAATTAAAGGACCACTCTAGGCACCCAGACCACTTCAGCTTAATGAAGTGGTCTGGGTGCCTGGTCCTTCTAGGGTTAACCCATTTTTTCATAAACATTCAGCCGAAGGGGAGGAGAAGAGGAGGATCGGAGGAGGAGAGCTCTCTGCCCAGCGCTGGAAAAAGGTAAGTTTTTACCCCTTTCCCCCTTCCAGAGCCGGGCGGGAGGGGGTCCCTGAGGGTGGGGGCACCCTCAGGGCACTATAGTGTCAGGAAAACGAGTATGTTTTCCTGGCACTATAGTGGTCCTTTAAGGGATGAATGAGCAGTACTAAATATGTCAGACTGCCACCATGAAACCTTCTCCTTTGGCAGCTAGGCCCAACCCCCAATTTTATACATAAAAGCATCTTATTAGCTTTTGCTAAGGAATTGCATACCGTTTCCTAGTTTTGTGATCTGTAACTGTTCCCTGGTCTTTTTCATTTAATGATATTCCTAACTCTACCATGTTTAATCTATAAAGGTGGCGTGTGGGCTCCTTATTCCAAAATGCATGCCTTTGTATTTATCTGTACTAAAATCTCATCTGCCACTTGCCTGCCCAGTTCATCAATTTATCCAAATCCCTCTGTAGAAAAGTTATATCATGTTCCGACTATATTTTCTTACCTTGTTTTGTTTAATCTGCAAACACCAAAAAATATCTTTTAATGTCCACTTCAAGATAATTTATGAATAGATGAAAGAGAAGTGGACCCAAGACGGAAGCCTTAGGTACCCCACTTTTACCAATTTAAATCAGTGTTCTATCCAGGAAATGTTTTTTTTTGTCTTAATCACTTAATCAACTGATTTCAGTTTTACTAGTAACATCTTATGTGGATCTGTATCAATTGCGTTAGCAAAATCCAAGTAGATCACATCTACTAGAACACCCCAATCTACATTTCTACTAACGTCTTCATAGAACACAATTAAGTTAGTTTAGCATGACCTGTCTTACATAAAACCATGATAATTCCTACTAATTATATTTTTGTTCAAAATGAGTATTTGAATATCCCTTGACAGCCCTTCAAATAATTTCTCAACCACAGATGTAAAGCTCACCGGCCTGTATTTTATGGGTTTAGCTTTTGAACCCTTTTTAAATATAAGAAAGGAATCCTGATTAACTTTTGCAAAGAAATTGCTTACTGTTTCATAATTTCAACAGTGGTATGGAAATTTCTACACAAGTGAGTGAATACCAACTGGCCCTGGATCTTTGCTTACATTTTCTAACGCAGTTCCTGTGTTAATCAATCACCTGTTTTCGTGAACATTTTTTTGTAACAGGGAATTGCAAATCTACAGCCATAGATTCTTCTTTCCTATATACCTATATTAAAGGACCACTCTAGGCACCCAGACCACTTCAGCTTAATGAAGTGGTCTGGGTGCCTGGTCCAGCTAGGGTTAACCCATTTTTTCATAAACATAGCAGTTTCAGAGAAACTGCTATGTTTATGAATGGGTTAAGCCTTCCCCCTAATCCTCTAGTGGCTGTCTCATTGACAGCCACTAGAGGCGCTTGCGTGCTTCTCACCGTGATTTTCACAGTGAGAGCACGCCAGCGTCCATAGGAAAGCATTATGAATGCTTTCCTATGTGACCGGCTGAATGCGCGCGCAGCTCTTGCCGCGCGTGTGCATTCAGCCAACGGGGAGGAGAAGAGGAGGATCGGAGGAGGAGAGCTCTCCGCCCAGTGCTGGAAAAAGATAAGTTTTAACCCCTTTCCCCCTTCCAGAGCCGGGTGGGAGGGGGTCCCTGAGGGTGGGGGCACCCTCAGGGCACTATAGTGCCAGGAAAATGAGTATGTTTTCCTGGCACTATAGTGGTCCTTTAAGTAGTTCTCACGGGGGAGGCATTCGCAGCTTGCAATGCTTTTCAAATATTTTGAGATCCTGCTTACACACAACTGTGCCATTAGGGGCATATGTGCAGTCAGGTGAAAGAACTTCTTTGGCATGGCAGGAAGTAATACAGGATGAGGTGCAGATGTCTTAGGGGTACTAGTTATGTTGATTACCATAGTCTGGGTATCGTTTTGTGTCAAAGAACGTGGACAGGGCTGGCAGCAACCTTGGCAGTTTCCAGGCTGTGTTGCCGGGATGACAGGATGGGTCCATAAGGTACCCAATAGAAGAGCTTTTGGCCTAGGTGGATGAACTCAGAGCAGAGAGAGACGATTTGCCCTCTTTCTCCACTATAGAAACACAGGCCATGAACACTCCTACGGTCTCTTTCCTCAGGAGGCAACCTAGTTCTGATGAATCCGACCTCCATGGGTTCCTCCCTTTCCACTGGAGTTACTTGGGTACAGTCAGCGTGATACAGCAGGTCCTTGAAGGTAGGCTTGCAATGTAGCGAGATGGAATCATTGTATTTGTATAAGCTTCTCTCTTCTCTTGGTATCCTAGATCTGCGGGAATTTGGAGCAGCTATTTTGGAAGCAGAGCACTGTGAGTATATCGCTGCAATAATAAACGACAAACAGGTGTCCAAGGCAGCATCTGTTTTTTGTAGCATCTGGTATGCTCACTCTTTAATCCGTCCATAAAGTAAATTAATAACGGTACAGACTTTGACAAAGTCAATTTAATAGGTCATGGACTTAAGGACAAACAGGAGTTCGCAATCCATTTTGAATGTTGTGTAGGAGGAACGAGAACCATCAAATCTTTCAGGCTTTATCACAAAGGGTTTTAGATATGCAGGTTCCAGGGTTGGGTGTACGGTTCCTTTAAATGCCAATACACCCTTCTGTACCTTCTAAAAAGTCTGAAACAGGTTGGAAACTTGCTGAGCAAGGGAGGTGAGCAGCTTGTAAATATCTGCGGACTCCATGGTCAGTTCATTATGTCAGGATCTGACCTGGTGTGGAGTCCGACATGCAGAGTTATACGCTCACCCTTCCAAATAAAACACAGACCAAGATGACCAGGTAAAAAGCCGCCTGGGCTGTGAGTCTGTGCACGGGGGCTGTGCAGGAATAGTGCTCCAAGTCGCAGTACAGGCAAGGACAAGCAGACGAGTAGTCGTGGAAAGCCAAAGTCAGGGGAAGCCAGAGGTCAGAGTCAACGAAGAAATAAGCCAAGATAGGAAGTCTGGAGAACATTGGATAAAGACACACAATAACAGGAACCACACCGCAGAACCAGAGTCAATTAAATGACTCTGCCCTCAGGGAGAGGCAGAGTTTTATACCTGGCTGATTGACGATCTGCTTGAGGTGGGCTTAGATAGACAGGAGCAGCCACAGGAAAAGTCCAACCCCCAGTGCTGGATGGAATCGTGCAAACCGTGACAGTATGTTTAGGTCACCAGCCCCCCTACGATTGCTTGGGAATGGTGTTTTTACTCACCTTTTTTCCCAACACCATGCCTGTCTCGCCGCAGCTGGCCTGTCTCCATAGCTGAGATGATCAATCTTGATGATCTCAGCCAATCTAGTGCTTTCCTATAGGAAAGCATTGGGAGCTATTGAGCATGCGTGGCAAAATGCTGCACCAATCAGCATCTCCTCAAATAGATGCATTAACTCAATGCATCTCTATGGGTACCATTCTGCACCTCCACGCAGATAGGAGACACTTTAGTGGCCGTTTGAGTGACTGCCACCAGAGATGTTACTAGGCAGCAATTTAAACACTGCTTTTTCTCAGAAAAGGCAGTGTTTTCATTGAAAAGCCAGCAGGGACAGGCTATAGTGTAGTGGTTCTGGTGATTATAGTGTTCCTTTAAGAATTTTATTTTCGTTGTTTGAAAAAAAAAACTGGCTTCTTACTTTTTTAGCAGGTTTTTTGTCAAGTCTATTATGATAATTTTCATTTAAGGCTGCATAAAGATAATGTGAAATAGTTCACTAAGATTTGTATTGCCTATGTTAGCCATCACTGCTCTGTAGTATGTATAGGAACATGTCAGTGCCACAGCTTATCCCACGATGCACAGAACTGCAGTTTAGAAAACAGTGGGGATCTGTGTGTAGATATAAAAACTATGCAGTGCTGCGTGACCCAAGGCTAGCCATTTTTCAGGGATCCTCAAACTTTCAAACACTGAGCTTTAAAGACAACAAGCGCCGAGGGGTAGGTTTTGAAAATAAAATATATAGGATTGAGGAGACAGCATTTCCACATAATAGTTTTTATTTCATGATCTATGTATTTATTAAAAAACACAGCTTAATGCCAAGGGCAGCAAGAGTGCTGATCATCTTCCTATGCTTCTTCCTGCTGGAAGTTTCATATTGCTGGCCTGTCCAATTGATTTTATAAGGCAATTAAAGAGAGCGTGCGGGTGAGACAGTGAAGAAAAACAATTACAGGTTGGTTCTATGCTTGCCATTTTGTATTAGTAGGTCAGGCTTGACATAGGCAGCATAAAACTCTACACAGCATCTCCAACATAACAAATGGTGCAGGGGAGGCAATCAGGTTAGAAAGTTAGAAATATTCCTTTAGATTGTATTGTTTACTTTGGGTATTGTGTTTATGTGTCTCATATAATGGAAATTAAAGGATTATCATGTGCTCAATGTGTTTATTTTACTTTTTAGATGGAGAGTTTTCAGAGGCAAAAAGATGTACTAAGACACTTGTCTGGCAGTGCAGTGGTGATAATCTTGCTAACTGGTTGATGATCATTTTAAATTACTGTGTAATATATTCAAATTGCTGAGTCAACCAAAGTTTAGAATGCCTTGTCTTTTAAAATTAAAGGGATACCCCTGGCTGGAGCTCAGCCATCTTTCTTATTGCATTAT